AGCTTTCTTTCATTGCCCGGTTCTGCTTTTTTCTGTATAATGAGGAAAACTCTCAATTTACAAGACTGAAAAATTTTTGCCTGTCCTCAAAGAAGCAAAGATAACTATCTTCTTAATGTGTTGCAGTTTGCATTTGTTAGTACTGCGAATGCTTGGAAAGTTCATTTTCAATTGGCATTGGGAACTATAGATAAAAGTTCTGAACAAAAAGTTGTTTTAATTTATATCAAATTAGAACAAAATTCCTCCGCATTGTATAAGTTTTTTCGTTAAAGCGCTTGGTGCTATTTTCAGCATGTTTTTTAGCGTTCAGAGTTGCCTTCCGAGAATACTCCAATTGAATGTATAATTCCCGGGTTATCGCCATATGGTTAATCAGTTTTGTTATAAAAAAAAATTAACACATCAGACCTTATAGTTTACGTAGGTCACCCCATTTACCGCATGTCACAAATGGCATCCTGCTACATCTTCACTGCCTTCCTTAAACTATCACAAAAAGAGCACTTTGAGGATATCTCTTGGATAAAATTATTTTTCTGACTAGTCACGGCATTGCATAAAAAAATTGAAACCTGGACCGCGCCACGCACCAGCTAAAATAAATCTAGCGTTTCTCACAAAAATTTTTAAAAATGGGATTGTCCTAAGTGTTATAGTAAAGAAGCTTTGTGGCTAGATAAAATATTGAGGTACTCAAACTTCAGAATGAGAGCACGCAATTGCCACCAGATCGCCTCAAAGGGATTACGTGTCCTAATCAGTGTCCTATCTCAGGAGTTTTTAAACGTCGAATTCCTTGTCAAAATCTCGCGCAAAAGGGGGTGTGCCCACTTGCTCGTCGCACAGCTTCGAGTTGATGATCATAATCCGACTTGTCGGACAAAGTTTCATCGCCGGGTGAATACTCTGATTCAGACTCAGAATCTGGTTTTGTTTCAACGAACTGTACTCTCCTTCCCATAATGATTTTCAGACTGACAAAAACCCCTTGAGTTTTCAAATTTGCTCTATTTCGAGCTTTTTATTAGATGATCTGGTCAGAACCTCTTTTTGTATCGAAGTTACTAGTTGCTGTACGATATATCGGCAAGTCTGTTATACCTGCTTACTTCGTTTGAGCATCGTTCTGATCTCTGCCTTCTCAGTGACTGACACTCTCCTCATGCTTTCAGTTAACGCAAAACCTGCTCCTTGAATTTCTCTTTCAAGCAAACTGCAGAACTCGTGCATGACGTCCGGAGCTACGTTCACTTTTTTGTTAAGCATTGAGTTGCTGTTAACGCCTAACCTGGTTAGTTCTCGTTGGACTAACTTAAATCGCAAAGATAAATCTATGGGAACTGGTTCACCTTTTGCTAACAGGGGGCTTGAAGTATCCCCGGGGCTTGTCAAACCACCCGGAGAATTGTATTTTATAATAAGTCTCTTAATCTAGAAAAATCCGCGTTCATCTCAGCAAGGTTTGCCTGCTTTTCTCTAAGTCGCCCATAGAACTCCGTTTTCTTGCTGACAATCAGATTATAACCATCCAGCTTCACTATCCATCGACCAAAATAGCTCTTATCCATCGCGTACGTTTTCAACCATGCGAGAGTTTGATTGTCAATAAGCAATTCAAAGAGACCACTTCATAGGTAAGCTGGATACTTCTCAACAGAACAATAACTGCGGAAATTTCAGCCATAGATGCAGCTTAATTCATCTCCGCCGTTTATCTGAGAACTTTGCTACCGTGAGCTATGGGTCGCAGAACGTTTCGACCCTTCCATTATTGTTCTTAATAGAGTATGCTTGTTATCGCCACTGCAGATGCATCAGTGTCTAGTACATATATTCATGTTTCAGTAGGCATACCGAGGATAGGAGCCTCGCATCGCTCACGTTTGATTGTTTTGAAGATAAACTCGCGCGCTTCCTAGTTCCAGTGTAATTTCTTGTACTTGTTCGCATTAGTTGTCCGCAGATCCTGTGATAAACTCACGAGAATAGATTGCAGGAAAAGAAAACTCATCAATTGTGTGTTTTTTGGTGCTTTTAACGTCAATACCACTTGACTGCTTCCGGTTTTGGTATGGTTCTATGTCAACCCATCATGCGACCTAGATATTTTAGGGAACCCCACAGGAGCTAGGACTTTGATGGTTTAGACTTCAACCCGGCTTGTTTAATGCAAGTGAAGACCTCATCTGGTCCTACCGCGTTGGAGTTGCAACCACAACGTCGTCAACAATGCACCTTACCACGTGAATTCTGTATTTTTTTCGTTTTAGTCGAGCGCTTGAACCAGTAACCGTTATAACGTGGCTGGCGCATTGCATATGGTCGCGTAGATGGTCTTTCGGGGAATTTCGAGCAGCTAGGCAGCCCGTGGACAGTCTCTGATTTCAGTGAAAACACCTTTTAAATATTATTTAATTCATTAGTCATTCATTAGTTTGCTTCAAGAGACACTCTTTACCAACACGAAATAGAAATTTTTAGAAAGTTTCGAGTTATTTATACTTTGATACTTGGGGTTCAGCTGCAGAACATATCCAGGCTTTATTTCACGTTGCTTCGTGACCGTCGTAACCTGAGTATTCAACAACACACTCACACATAGTCCACTTTAAAATTGTCCGCTTCTTCCTAAAATTGCTGAGCTTTTAATTTCTGGTTGGATAGTAAACACGCCTGTTTTTCTGTCAAAGTTTGTTCATATTTACCATTCTAAAGGTCTCTATCACGGCTTGATTTGGTTGCAGTTAAACTCTACGATCTGATCTAAAAGATCGGGACCCTGGCGTTGTTTATCAAATTTTTATTGACTGGTTTCTTTTCATACTTTCTTTCAGGGCCTTTTATCGTGATTTTGCCTTCGTTCAATTCGATGGTGACGCACCGAATCGCGTCCCAGGTTGAATTTGTCTCATTCGACATGATCCTGGACTACCAGAAAGCTCACGCAAAGCTGTCTTCCTCCCTACTGCAATGAGATGATCGGTGGTCTTCCAGTCACGTAGATAGCCACTTAGTTGACTCGAGTTCATCAAACCGTGCCTGTCGTATTGCATAACCTAAAAAGCGGTGTTGTTCCAGTCACGTATATAGTCCCTAAGATGACTGCAGTTCATTGAAACGTGTCTGTCGCATTGCATAACCTAAAAGGTATCTTTTTCCACTGGAGCAGTCAAATTTCGCATGTAAAGCTTGTCTTCTTTCTGTCCAGCTTCCTCGGGTGCAGCAGTGAAAATGCAGCTCCAAATTCAACGTGGTGAAGCATTTTGCGTCTCCTAGTTGGGAGAGACTCATCAATTCTGTGTATCAAGTCGTGTTCCATCAACATTTTGATCTAATTTCTACACGCTTTTGCTTTATGTGGGGTCATCCTCCTAATTCCTTCCCTATGACAAGCCGCGCCCTCTATTTCTATTTCGTGCTCCAAAAAACTGCAGAATCCTGCAAATTGCAACATCCAAAAACTGTCTGCTTTCCAAACTCACTCGTCTTCTAAGGATTCTAGTTTTTTATCCTATATCCTGCCTCCTAGATATTTTTTAGGCAAAACCAGTTGGTCTGTTAATTCTGACTCAGATGATCTTTCGGGAAAATTCGAGCAGCTAGACGTAAATTCGAGCAGAAGTCTAGTTGTTTGTCAAATATTCCCCCACACTTTTTCGAAGGGTGTAGACTGAGGGGTCAAACTAAAAACAACTCTTTTAATTGATACCTTTTTTTGAAAATCGGGCAAATTTTCTCAGAACTAAAATTTTTGCAAAAAATGAAAACAATTTTGCATAACAAAAAATGAAATTTTAACAAACGGATTGTTCAACATACAACCAACTGGATAATGCGGAGGGGAGTGCTAAAATTGTATTGATATTGAAGCGTCCCAAAATTAGGTCTTTAAGCCGATGAAAAAATTTTGGCCCAGGAATTTTTCAACGAATTAAAAAACAAGGAAATATGAAGTCAAGGTAAATGAAATTACAAATGTAGGCGTAAATAAAACATCAGAGAAAAATGCGCGCAGCAAAAAGAAACGATTCTGTGATGTGATATCTAAGCCAACAACAGATAAGCAGACAAATAATTGGCCGACAATTTCATTTGAAACAGAATATTTACCGTTTGAAAAAAAAAACAAGTCCTGTTCAGACTCGAACTCACGACCTTTGCCGTCCCAGGCGTATTCGTTACCAACAGGCTAAGCGTGCAAAAAATACTACAAATTTTGAGTTCAAAATGAACTAAGGTACTACCAGTTAAATGAGTCCTGTGGACTAAGTTGTTTACGGGAAAAAGACTAGTACCCATTGCAATACCCTAGCTATTGCAAGGGTAATAAACTGAAAAAAAAACTAAAATCACCCATTTTTCGGATAACATTTGGCCCCAAATATTGCAAAACAAATTGTATCTCCCGGCTAAATTGGCAAGGAACGCTAAGAAACTTGTATACACAATGAAAGAAGGCAGAGATGAGCCAAGACGAGTCCTGTGGACATAGTTGTTCACGGGAAAAAGTCTAGTACCCGGTTGCAATACCCTTGTTTATCGCACGGGCAATAATCGTATAGTCCCGGCTATAGTAAAACTTATAATAGTATTTTTTGGCTTCCGTTTAAAAAACGTATAATCGTATAACTTGAGATCAAAATTCATACTCAATTATAGCAACTGCTCAAAGCTTAGTGATCCATTTAATAAAGAGCAAAAAACAAACCGCAAAAAATCGAGTCTGAGCGCGAAAAAAAACTTGCAACTTTCCTGAAATAAAACTACGAACTTGACCCGACCAATATAAGTAATTCTACACAAACTATTACGTTCATGGATATAGAAACTGTCATTGATGTTTCGTTTTCTTCCAATGATTTTTCTGCTAATTTGAAGTTAGCTAGAACAGTACATCTGGAATGAATGGATTCGATTAGTCTCTTTACTCATAGCCGATCTTTGCAATGCTCAACAGACTGATTTGTTCAGAACTTTTCAAAAGCATATTGGTTAATTTTTATTTATATTTAAAAGAATAACTAAGTTAATTCGAAGCAGAGTAAAGGTTATGACCTTATAATCTTCAAAAATACATTTGTTTTGTATCAATCCTCATCAAGTTTCATTTGAGCAATCGAAATAACTAATCGCATTAAATATGAGTAGGTGGCATGTTAAACATATATAGCTATTGGGAGATGCAAAAACCAAATAAGCAACAATCATTCGAACTTCAACGTCTGATTTGAGTAGGGTACGCACGCCGTACTGAACAAATATTAATTATAAAATATCAATTTTCTAATGACTATTACTAACTGCATCGTGTTTTCAAGCAACTTCCATTTATTTTCCCGGAAAAAAAGGTTGCCCCTTACAAAACCACCTACTCTAATATGATCACCTGCAGTTTATTTAAGAGGTAGATGAGCCTCCTGTGTCTCTAGGAGAAAGAGGCGGCGGCTTGCTCATATCATTAGCGGCGATTACAGCTGCCTTTTCTATCTTTGAGAACTTCTCAACTGGTCGCTTGCAGAAGAAGCACTCGTTCCTGTTCATTAATTGGTGCTGGATGCAGGACTTACAAGACGTGTGGCCACAGGGCTCAAAAGCTACACTGATTTCAGAAGCACAGCAGATCGGACACAGTTCTTCGTCCGCGATCACTCTTCGTCCAATCATGGAGATCGCAGAGCCCGCCGAGTCTTTCTCCGTCTTTAGAATGTGAACCAACTTTTGAATCTGCTCAATCTCTTCTGCCGATATCTAAAATCAATACACTCAGCAAACTGTACATCTATTTAAACCAATTTAAGTTCATTCTTTTAAAATTTTATTGTTTATCAAAAAAATCAAGTTTACAGTTCAGGTTTAAATTTTAGTAATGTTTCATCAGCGTAAGTCTGATCAAACAGGACCTACAATGCAATCTATGACCTATAGTACCAACCTCTTCATAATTGCAAAACGAAAACTTATTTGAGGACACCTCTCCTCCCATTCGATCTTCCCCCTCGCATACTGCAGCTCCTCCGCTTTTGGGCACCATAAACTCCAGCGACTCCAGAGTGAAAGAAGCCTCGTTAAACAAGGCGTTGATAGCCACTTCGCGCCCCTTGGCCGGCGTCTGGAAGGCGAGTCTGGTGAGGATTCCGGCAGTGGCTGTGAGAATGGGGTAGTTGTCAACTGAATCGAGAGACCCGAACTTCTTCTTGCGAATAACTTGTTGGAACGCACCTGTCTGAGATGTCACGCGACAGAACACCTACATACAATAGTACGACTGACTGCATTGAGACTACGGCAATTATATTGCACAATAATTTTATCGAAAACTATAAAAACTACGGCCTGTTATTAAAATATCAGGCACACAGTATTACTAGCCTGGCTAAGTAGCTGCATGAGTCTCTTGAGGAGCAATTCGGAGTTGGGTCTGTTCGGATCTGTGAATAGCTGCGGCGCCACTGCAACTATCAACTCGATCACCCTCAACAGCCCAACCGAGAGGTCAAAACAGGTGGCCACCAGTTTGTGCTTCCTCCTGTTCTCATTCATCCCATTGGAGCTCTCCGATGAGGCGGCAGCAGATGCGGAGAGAGGGGATGTCTGGATCTCGGAGAGTTGGGTGAGGAACTCTGAGAAAGCCCAGTTGAGTTGGTTCAATACACTGTTTATGAACTGCTGCATGGATTCGTCATCTTGAGTCAGCTGCTCGGCCACATGTTGTTGGAACACTTGAAAAGAGGCCTCAAATTGCAATACACATCAACAAAATTTCCCGTGAAAAACAAAGTCAATCGAAGATTGAAAAAGAGTAATGAACGTAACTAAACATAAAAAAACACTGACTTTGTTCTTAGCTTTCGAATTTCAAAGAAAAAAAGAGATACCCTACAAGCTCTTTGAATTTCTAGAACGATTTATGATTGGCGCTTTTTTGATAAAATTAACCCAACTTGAGAAAACTGGATCAACGGGTAAAGTTTTGATTCGACTGGAAATCTAAAAATTAAATACCACTTTGAAACTAGAAATCCTTCACAAATTTTTGCGCCATTTGCACGTTCGTATTTGGAGAGTATTACAGTGCTGATTTAAATTATCCGGACAAAACGAACAAAACTTGAATTTTCAAACGCGTTTTTCTCAAATTGGGTTAAGATTAGACAAAAAGTGAAGAGGCAAAAGTTGCTTACAATTTCACCAGAATTAATATGGTGCCATTTTTTCTCCGAAATTCTCAACAAACATTTTACCCCAAAAATGGGTCATTTTGGCTTTTTTCAATTAATCAAGAATTACGCAGAAGCTACTTTGTTAATTGATGAGAAAATTATATCACAGGAAGCCTCTTACGCAGCTCAACAAAGTTTAAGAAGGGTTAAATCTCCAAAAATTTGCGCAAATTGTTTAAAATTTATTTTTAAACAGAACTTCTGGGTTTTATTTAGTAAAAATCACATTTATTGACTATCAAGTGATAATTTTTTCTCTTATACTGGTTTTTGGAGATTTGACCCTTCTTAAACTTTTTTGAGCTGCGTAAGAGGCTTCCTGTGATATAATTTTCTCATCAATTAACAAAGTAACTTCTGCGTAATTCTTGATTAATTGAAAAAAGCCAAAATGACCCATTTTTGGGGTAAAATTTTTGTTGAGAATTTCGGAGAAAAAATGGCACCATATTAATTCTGGTGAAATTCTAAGCAATTTTTGTTCTCTTCACTTTTTGTCTAATCTTAACCCAATTTGAGAAAAACGCGTTTGAAAATTCAAGTTTTGTTCGTTTTGTCCGGATAATTTAAGATAACGTAAATCAGCACTGTATTTACGTCACTTTCAGCAGATGAATTTCAATTGAACTCAAAAACTGCATATATACCTGAGTGCATCAATATGTTTAGACTTTTTCCTGAAAAAAGCGAAAAACAAAAAATCAGCAAAATATATGAGTCTTCACTACGTTCAATACTCTTAAACAATTTGCCAGTACTTTTCAGTTACCCGCATGAATTTTCAGTCCTCAAAATCATTGAGTTTCATATAACAATGCCAACTGATTGCTAGCATTGCACTATCAAGATAATTACAACGAAAGAAACCTAGATTTAAACGAAACAGATTCGTATCGTACCCGGAGATGGGCATGGTCGTTGAAAGGATGCGCTGTCGTAGTCTTGAGTGTAGTGTCTCAGTCGAACGGGACTCATATGGGGTGGGAAGGCATATCGATAGCCGAAGCCACACCCCTTCCATAAACGCACCAAGATCCAGTTGATCTGGGGCCATGAGCTGAAACCAATCCCATGTGAAGTCAGAGAAATTTTCGAATCCCAACTAACCTACTGTTCGAAAAAAAAATTATTTCCCAAAATACACTCGGAAAAGTGTCAATTAAATAACTCAAGGAGACTGAATGACTTTCCTAAGGTATACCTAGATTTTTCAAGGCTTAAGTAACCGATTTCAATCCAGCAAACATTACTCGCTCAAAATAAGACCACAAACCAGGAGGTTCAAATCAGTTTTCCTTGACATTGAGAGAATTTGAATCACGATTTAAATAGCTCTAATATGATACCTCACACAGACACAATCCGTTCTGATGTCCCTGTTTGTTCTACCTGATTTTGCGTGGGAAAAAGTATGAAAAAACCACACCCGAAGACAAACTTCTTCCCCATGTTCAATGGCCAGAACGAAATCGAAAATAAAAATATCAAAATCAAACTAATCAAAAACAAATTTGAGCGCGACAATTTCTAAGAATTTGTCCTGAAAAAAGGAAAAGAAACGAACACGACCTAAATAAGTGTTTTCAACGGCATTTTAAGAGAAAAAACACAAATCAATTGAAATTTAGTGTATTGATTATGATAAACCTTCTATAGATCCCAATGTGAGGAAAGGAAATCAAAAGAAAATTTCTGAATTCCGCTAGAAATTTTGAAAATAAAATTTATTGAAAATAAAATTTATATGTGAGTCATTCACGTTTCTTCGCAACATTTGCCTTTCTTTTAGCCAATAAATTTGAATTGAGATCAAAAAGAAAGAAGTTATGCGCTCAAAATCAAATCTGAACGTGAACGGATTTTTATAAAAACAAAAAATCAACAAGACCAATATAGTGTCTTCACTATGTTCATTAACAGGACGTCATAATTTACATGTGCAACTTGACCAGATTGGCGCAAAATTCACCGAAAACTGGTTTGATGATTTAGTTAACGACAAAATTTAGCTGGGACAAAACGAGCGTCCAAGAAAAATGAATGCTCAAAAGTTAACACTGCTACTTAAATTTCACTGAATTTAGTTCACTGTAAGACTGATAACCATACAACTTGAACCAAAAACCCCACCGTGACTCGTAGGGCGACAGTAGTGTCCTGATCATGGATTTCCTCATCGTCAAGGACATCTGTTCGAGACTCTTGAGAGATTCCGGGTAGCATACGAAGCATGCCAGAGACTGAATGATGCTGTCCTTCACATCACTGTTCACTATAAAGGATCCTCCAGCCTCCGAGAAGTTGTACGCGAGGAAGAAAGCCATCTCGTTCAGGGTCGAAATGTATCTTTGGGATCCTAAAACACAAGTCAGCATTAACTCGTTGAAAAAGATCAAGCTAGAATCTGCTTGTAAAATCGCACAAGTTTTCCTAATTTATTTCTCTGAGTTTAAATATAACAGTAGCTTAGCTAATCAATCAAATCACTGTAGTTAACGTATGACGCTCTTTTCTAGGACCCACCAAAACTATTTCAGCTCTAGAATCTCACCTTCGAAAGGAGCGACGAAGGAGAAATATCTTGTCAAAGCTTTGTAAGCATCCAACACTACATCCACATAATATTCAGGCAAATAGGAATAGGCGTTGCCATGGTAACCTGCCTTTCTCATAGTCGCCAAGGAACATCTGAGCAACCAATGAACGTCTTCCTGCTTTTCTTTCGAAAATACGACAGCAATCAGCCAGGACAACTGGCGTGAATTCTCCACTACCTTCGTCTTGAGCACTTCTTTCGAATTCAGAAGTTCTTCTCTAACTTCTATCTCACTGTTTTCCACCTCACACATGTGCAATTTGTGACACGTTTCGTTCAATGCGCACGACATTTCCCTGAAATTCTCTCTCAATTCGGACATTTTCATGAGCTGTTTGTGAGAGGCCAATTGGTACAGCATGATGGCACAGTCCAGAATCTCCAGCAGTTCGTTATGCGACGGAGCAATTTCGGAGTGAGCCAGACTTTCGCTCACATGAACTGTCTTTCTGACATGGGCCAGAACTCCTCCAAGTCGCTCCGTCATCACTTTCTGATTTGAAGATTTGCCTTCACCTTCGCTAAAACAGCACACGATAACGAACCAATTTCAGAACTTTCACACAAATTATTCATAGAAAAACGCCTCTATTTTCTCAGAAGACAAGTCTGCTGCTGACTGATGAGCTCAACAACCATTTCAAAATATGAGGATAAAACAAGATTACAAACGATCTTAGTACTAAAACTGTCAAAAGACATCGAATCACATGAAATGAAAACGAAAGCTCAATAAGCTAACATTAAACATAGCCAACTGACAGTTGGAAAAGAGTAATGAGCGCAAGGAAACTGAAACAAAAACTGACTTATTTTTTTCCAAAAATCTCCAATTTTTTGAATTTCGAAGAAAAAATAGATGGCCCTAAAACTCTTTGACTTGTATAACAATTTATGATGGACACTTTTTTGTTAAAACTAACCCAATTTGAATCAAAAACTGGATCAACAGGTTAGACTTTTATTTCACTGGCAAATCTGATAATTAATTTCCATTTTCGAAATTAGAAGTTGATCACGTATTTCGTGACCCTTACATTTTTGCTGTTCGATAGAAGAGTTTGCCTTCTTTTAACAATGGAAATGAACTGAACTAAAAAAATAAATCACAAGTCAAAATTGAGCGTGAAAAATCAAAATTGAGCGTGAAAAAAATTGACTTTTTCCCGAAAAAAAAAAAATCAGCAAGACCTATATAAGAGTACTCACTACCTTCATTTCTCTTAATTATACCACGAGTACTCTAACTGGACATAATGAACATGGTCATGATTAATTGCATCAAGGCTCATCATCGTCATCATCATCATCATAGTTTGATTTTGTCACCCCTTCTTTGAAACTCACAGGTGAGGAGAAATGTCTTCGGCCTTGAACTAGGCTTGTTATCTCTGTGAGTCTGGTGAGTCTTCGGCACTGAGCTGGACCTGTTTTAGAACCCTGCTATTCAATTCTCAGTGAGCTAGGCCTGTTATTCACTTTTAAAATTTTAAAAAATTCAGCCCTGATCTGGGCCTGGTCTCATCTGATAGTCATTTATTAAAAGCTTCCCGAAAATCTGCTGCCAGTTCTCTGACGTGCTTTGCATCTGGATTAATGCCATCAGTTCTCATGTGAAGGCTGTATCTGAATCTTCTGTGATTGTAGCAAGGGACTTTCAGTTACCTCGCTAAATCTCGATAGTAGCCGTTTCGAGCTTTGATAGTGCTGTATTTATCCATTCTGCTCGTTAGTTCCATTAATCCAACAATTAACCCGTGAAATTTCAAATAACGAATCAGATAGTACAGTTGATCAGCCGTTTCTACTGGTCACATCAATGGTCGATTCTCTCGATCGAAGCGGTTATTGCTTCCTCTCATGACTATGTTTTTTGCATCCGAGTTTCTAATATCTCTCAGAACATTGTCGCTGCACAATGGGGAGATGGCTCCACCTGGGCACGAAAAAGTCATTGTATTCTTCAGGAAGACTCCAAATACTAGCGAAGATCCTAGCACACAGTTGTTCACTCGGTTGGTAGAATTAAAAATTATTCTCCGAAATGGCTGCCTTTTGCTTTCAACAACACAGCGATGATTGGCAGGTGACCTTTGAATACCACGGATTCGATTTTTGCAGTCTGCATTATTTCTGGAAGCAAACTTTTCATTAATTCCACTACTTTACACGCCATATGCGTTCTCGAAAAGGTTATGTTTTAAGCGTTCGTTTGAAAGTATAGTGATCTAAAATACTCCATGAGCTCAAGTGGGAGCGAATTCCACTGTTTGGCGCAAGTAGCGAGAACGCACGGTTTCCGAATGATTTTCAAGCTAACTTCATTTCTGCTTGAACATGTTAGGTGTTCTAGTGTGTTACAATGCCGTTGAAATGAGGCCATACCAATCAAGTAAGATGGAATTTCTGTATCGTGTAGTATTAGAGTAATTGATTAGAAAATAACTCTTTGTTCAATGGGAAGCCAGTTCAGGTGGTGCCTAAAGTCTTTACACGAGTCAGATTTCCTTAACCCAAAAATGAATCGACATGCTGAGTTCTGAACTCGTTGTAAGTTAGCAGAAACATACTTGGGTGCCCCATTTGGAATTATTTTGCAGTAGTCTAAACGTGATATAATTAAGCTATTGGCCAGCATAATCCTGCTATCTAGGTTCAAGTAGCGCTGGATCTTGTATAAAGTCGAGAGTTGTGAGTAACAGGAACTGCAAATGTTGTTCGTTTGCAGGGTAAAGCTTAGATTTAAATCAATCTTCACACCGAGGGATATTATACTATTTAGTAGCTTAACTTCAATTCCAGCCAGAATCATTGAATCAAGCTGAAATTTTCAACCCTTGGATCTGGCGCATATAATTTCAGTCTTATCAGGATTTATTTTAAACTTGAGAGAAATGAAGGCTGACACAATCTTTGTGGCAAGATCCTGGATATGCAGACATAACGACGCGTTTGACAAGCTTCTATCAATGGAAATATACAGCAAAGTGTCATCAGCGCATAGCTGATATGGTAGCATTAGTGAACGGAGGAAGTCGCCAATCGGCGTCATATACATATTGAAGAATTTATCCTTGGGGGACTCCATAAAGGACATCGCTTTTCCTTGACATGGTCTTCCGTATTTGAATCATTTGTTTCCTGTTTTGTATGTAAAACAGGATCCATTTCTTGCATGTTTCTTTGATACTAAATCGTTTAACTACAATTTCATCGAGGATATGGAAGTCTATTGTATCAAACGCAGCAGATAGATTCAGACCAAGTACTATGACTAGGTTATCTCTATCCAGATGGGTAAAAATTTCATTTGTTTTCTTCAGCAGGCATGTTTCCGTTGAATGAAGAGCCCTATAAGCGGATTGGTAAGTGTCAATCAACTTTTCGTTTTCAAGGTGAAGTTTCAGTTGAACAGCAGCAACCTGCTCCGGCAACTTGGAGATGGTGTTAGTGTTAGCAAATGGTCTGTGGCCGTTCAGTGATTCAGGATCAAGGGTTTGTTTTTTCAACTTTGGATTGATGCTAGCTATTTTGAGAACCTCTGGGTATACGCCCGTTTCCAAACTGCGATTAACTAAATTGAGGGCGAAACGTTTCCAGGCAAACGAAGTTGATTTCAGATAAAATGTTGGAATGTCATCTAGCAGGCAAGTGCTATTTGACGAGGTTGTGATAGCAGTGATAGCATCTTCTATTGTAACAGTTCGAAAGTGTGACAGCTCAGCTTCATTATTTGCTGGTCTTATATTAAGTTTTCCTGCTTTACTGGGTATTTCAGACTTGATATTAGTTACTTTTTGTTCGTAAAAACTACAGAATGCGTTAGCTATTTCTAGATCAGTATTGTTATTTTTCGGGAAAATGAATGCTTCTTTTAAACCCAATAAATCTCTTATATTGTTAAACTTCTTCTTGATCTCAAAGGTGCGGTTTAAGTTTCCATTGTAGAAAACAGTTTTCTTTTCTTTAAAGATTAGTTTGCATTCGGTAACTGATCTTCTAAACTCAATTTTATTTTCAATACTCGGTTGTTTTCGATATGTAGTTTCCCATTTGCGTCTCTTCCTTTTTAGCAGAAGTAGCTCTGCGTCGAAGAAAGGAAACACGAGGCTTTTGCCGCTTCTTTTCTCAATGGGTCTTAGCTGATGAGCTGCGCTGGATAGAACCTCCAGAATCAAATCTCCCATTTCATCTGGATCCTTAATGTTATCATTAAGTTCTAAGTTTATTTTTACTTCATTAGCGAGCATTTTGAGGTTAGTTTTCTTCCAAATTTGTTTAGCTATTGTGGTACTTTGGCTTTTTGTAGCGATACTTTATAGTTGAATTGAACCAGAAGGCGATCCGAGAAACCAGAATTTATAGGTTCCACATTGGTAACATTAGTCTTGTTGTTCGTTATGACAAGGTCAAGCAGGTTACCTGATCTATGAGTGGCATCAAAGTTAACTTTAGATAGTGATCATTCAAATAAAATATCCTCTAGATTGGCACTATTTGGAAGGTTGAGGTCACACAACAGAATTAATTTGGATTGTAGAGGTCTGTGATATCTCGGTATAGAGAAAATTCCTGAAGGCGTTGATTTGACCGTTGGGCGGTCGATACACAAACAAGACACAAACTTCGAAGAGCACCGCCTCAAGCGAGGGGGACCATAAATGCTTTGAACACGAAAAATTGAGATCAGATTTGTAGATTAACACCAAACGTCCACCTTTGCCGCAAGTTCGTGGGTAATTGAACTGTCGGTATTCAATAGAAGATGTATACCATTGTCTTACCAGATAGTTTTCATCCTTATCCGATGAGGTCCATGACTCTGTTATGAGAAACATATCAAATTCGTCCATGATTATAAGAGGTGAACGTTTTTCAGCTTTGTTGCGTAAGGATTGAGTATTGAAAAGGCCACATTTGAGTCAATCTCGCGAAGTATCCTCACTTTGCGAAAGACCTTTTAACCAATCAAAAGCATTTTTGTTGAGGTAATACCTGCCATGCATCACTCCATCTGGTCAAAAGTCATCATTTTCAACGACTCCAGCGTATTTCTTTTCAAAGACTAAATGGAAACTACGGAGGGTGCTTTCGGGTTTGGTCAGTTCTCTAATATGTGATATTTCAGCCCCATTGCTCGAGCACCAAGATACGATGCCCTCGATTGTATATTCTTTTGTTAATCTTCCTATGTATACGTGTCTTCGTCCCGTCTGTTTCTCAACTCCTGCAAAGCTAGGGTTACTTGCTTTTGTTCCTAGCTTTGGTGGCTCTCTTCTAGGTGCATCGTTTATTATTTGATTGGGTCCCCAGTCATTCGGTGTTGGTCTTTTTACGCTTCCGGTGCTGTTCAGTCTGTTTCTCGCGAAATTGTTTAATTTGAAACCGGTTTTTCAGAAGTTGATGCAGAGCTTGAGCTGCTTTTTAGAGCAGCGCTGTATAGTGGAGCTGTTGTTTTGAAGGAATCTATTGTTATTCGTTCTGGAAGCTTGCTTAGTTTTTCTAGTTCATTCTGCATTTCTCTCAGCGTAGTTAGAATTGATTATGAGGTTGGAGATCTGCAGTCGTCACCGGACCAAGAAAAATGGCCCTTTATATCTAGTGACAGTCCAATGCAATTTGAGTGTGCTCCTTGGTTGCATATTGAGCAGCAAATTGTTCCGTTATCTTGGAGTGCACCTGAGCAGTATGGACATGTCATGTGTTCCGCCCATGACCGCAGTTCTCGGCCTTCATTCATTAGACAATGATACTACAGCCCTAGATCTGGGCCTTTAGTTTCTTTTTTATTCGTAGATGACTTTTAACGGATGTGTTTTCAGCCCTTGATCTGTTCAAGTAACGTTCTGACCCAAATGCCGGATTTTCTGAAATCCTCAAAGAGGTTTTAGATACACCTAAAGCGGCTCAAAAAATCTGAACTGACTTATTAAACAGCAATAGCTATTTAATAAGTTTATCACAACAATTAGGCTAATCTTACCTTTCCTTTGACTTCTTTGTGCTTGCCGTGAAAATCCACACTGGAACAAATGCTTCATTCGACCCCACACATGTGGGGTTATTATTCGCATATGCGTCCCAGTAGAACCTCAGTGCCTTAGTCAGTCGGTGCATAAAACATAGCGTCACCGGAAGTGGACAGGGCGATGGCGCAAACTTCTGACCCTTTTGACACGAGTAGAGAAACTCGCGTAGCTTGATCACGAAAACAGAACGGGAGGTTTTCCCCGACGACGTCTCGCCGGCATCTGAGTCACTCATGAGAAGCTTCAAGATCTCCACTTGAATCTCTTCGATTTCGCCCACTTTAGTTTTCAACGCTGAGCAGTGTCTCAAATATGCCTGCTTCTCTCGAGCTTCACTTTCGTCTTCACTTGTCGCAGAATCGATTGGAGCGAACTCCGGTCCCAAGTTTGTGAAATCGGCGCTATACTTCTGCTCCTTGCTGGACTTGTCCGTTTTGTCCCACCAGACATCAGGAATCAGTTGCTCCAATACCGGATCATCAGGGGGTTTGATGTGCATGAAAAGAGGAAACTGTACAATGTCCCATAGAATGAAATCCAACGCTAAGTGTCTCGTTGGCGCGTGACGCAGCAATGACAACAGAAGCACCAAATAGGTCAGTTGATTTTTCAAATCGACTGTGATTTGCGAGAATCTGTAGCTGTTCAGAATGATGGAAAATAGATTCATCATGCACACTTTTATGTCTTCCTCTTCTAAACAAGTCCACATGAGCTGGAGAATTCGATCCACAAATGGCTGCAGTCCCGTGTGTCTGCTCGCATTACAGAACTTTAATAGCATTTTCAGCAACACTGCTTCTGTAACGTAGGCGCTGTAGAACAAAGGCGCTAGTTTGTCAAATATCTGACTGGCCACTATTATTTTGATGCTCTGACTGATTGCGTCTTTTGTAGGTTGATACTGTCCTTCCGTATTCGCGTTCTGCTGCTGAGGTTGTGGCGTATTGGCAGTATTCGCGGTCAAAAGACGTTCCAGATATTTCACGAGAAGAGAAGCTTGTTGCAGCTGCGCATTTGGAGGATCCTACCAAAATAATCAATAGGAACTTTCTTTGAAAAACTATTGAATCTTTTCATAAATCTTTCAAATGCTTGAGCATTTTTTTTTCAGTCCAATCGCAACAGAGTCGAGACAAAATTTATATTCCAGTCTTTTTATTCCACTCAAAATTAGGTACTCCAAAAAATTTCTAGGAAACTGAATTATATTTTCACATTGCAGTAATTTTATCTATGATTCAATCTGCATAAAATCAACAAAATGTCATCGAACAAAAAACTGTCCCAAGACGTTTACTTTTCAATTTTTCGTGTGATCGGCTATTAAATGCTCATTAGCCGATCATTTCAAGCTCAAAAGACAAGACTTAAAATAGAAGTGCAGCTGAGCTGCGCACCACTTGTAATACAACAAGTATAAAATTAAAACAGCATGACCCGCAAAAATTAATTCGAACAATGAAATTGAAGTTTAGTCCATGATTAAATTTACAGTTCCTAGTGGGGTTGATTTTGAGCAATCTAAAACAGGGTGACAGGCTCTTATTGATCTAAAAAATAGCCGGAAATTTTTTGGAAAAAAAACAACATATCCAACTGACAGTTGGAAAAAAGTAATGATCACAAGGAAGCAGAAAAATAAAACTGGCTTATTTTCTACAAAAAAAACGTTGGAAAGTTAAAGAAAAAATAAATACCCTTGAATCTCGTCAAATTTCACAATTAAATTTATGATTGGTGCTTTTTTGATAAAAATAACCCAATTTGAGAAAAATGGGTCAGTAGGTAGAATATTTTATTTCGTTGATAAATCTGATAATAAATTCCATTTTCGAAATTAGAAGTTGAAGTTTTTAGATCAAGTTTTTCGTAACCTTTACACTTATTTGCCTGAAAACAAATTCATTTAGAAAAAAAAAACATGCCAAAAAACAAAAAGTTAAATTTGCATCGTAGCAAAAGAATCAATAACAAGCCGACAATGCTAATTGCGAGCATAACAACCCTATGGATAATAATTCCGTGCATATTAAACGACGGTGCAAAAAATAAGTATTAAAAAAATTAAAATATCAGGCAAGTAAGCCGAAAAAAGTTGGGACGAAATCCAGTAAGCCACTAATAAATTGAATTCAACTCTGAAAAAGTTTCCAGTGTCAAACATTGCATTAGGAAACACATTTAGATGTTAAAAAGCATCTTGACTAAACTTCTACATTTGAGATCCTGAAATTGAAAATCCTGAGAACAAACTTGGGTACTGGAAAAAGTCTAGTACCAGGTTGCATTACCCTTCCTTCTCCCAAAAGTGAAAATATTGGATCTATTTTATACACAGAGGTGAAGCTGAGCTTCGTACCACTTGCGATACAAATATGAATGACTATAAAAATCGAACGGAAAAAACCAATAAATCTTTTTTGTCAATAAAAATTGCAACAAAAAAGCCAAAATATTCGAAACAAAACTGCTTGCACCAAGAAAAACTCTACAAAGAGCTTTGGGAATGCTATGAAGTAGCCATTTTTATTTAGAAACCCTTTCTGCGAAACTAAGCAGACAAACAATAATCTAAATAAGCAAAGATTTTCTATTTGCAAAAAAAAAACAAGTCTCAACTGGAATCGATTTACTGGGCATTGTCGTCTCAAGCAAATGCCCAGTAAATCTTAAGCAATTGCCGTCACAGCAAATTCGAATCAGGCTGAACCATAAGGCTAATTTATAATTACCAAGTGGTAACAAAGCCGAAAAAACCTGAGCAGAAACCCTTCATGCCGACAAAAAATTCAAAAAAAAATTCTAAACTTGAAAAAAAAGTCAAGTCTTTTTTTCCCGTTAGAGCACACACATACGCGCACAAAAACAAAAACTTTTTCCGTACGTAACGACGCAACAAGAGTCCACTAATTCGACATTCATTAGGCCAAATATTAATAAGGCGATACCAAAGACGAAAAAATGAAAAAAGAGAAATTTTAACAAATCGAGCTGGTTAAAATACAATGGCAAATTTCGATTCGGCCGGATTTTTAAAATGCCAAAAACAACTGCTGTTAAAATTGTTTACAGCTAAAATAAACGATCCTTAGATGTGGCAACTAAACCGATAAAACATAAGCAGACAAATAACAGGCCGAAAATTTTTTGAGCCGGAAAAATTACCGCTTGAAAGAAAACTGGTTCTGGTCAGATTCAAACCCAGGACCTTTGCTACTCATAACTATCAGACTCAGCGTGCAAGAGACACTACGAATTTTGAATTCAATATGAATCAAGGTACCACCACTTCAATGCTTTCTGTGGACTAAGTTGTTTACGGGAAAAAAGTCTAGTACCCGATTGCAATACCTTTGCTAACGTAAGGGTAATAATTAACCAAAACTAAAAATTCAATCTCAGAGTGAACACCGGTTCTTTACCTTTTTTCTTTCGAAAATTTTTAAAGTTGTCAAATTTTCAAAAATTAAATTTTTTCGTCCAAACTTCATTTCACAATTGCACTGCGAAGGTCAAAACATTCTGCAGCATTTGCAAAACAACCCAGTAATTTTATTTAGATTACAGAGCTGATTTAAATTATTCGGACAAAACAAAAAAATCTCGAAGTTTTTCTCAAATTAGGCTAAAATTACACATAAGAGAACAAAATTTTCTTAGAAATTAACCAGAATTATTGTGAGTCACTTACTTTGCAAACTTCGGAACCAAAACTTTACCCCAAAAATGGGTCATATTCGTTTTTTTAGCTTATAAAAATGACACTAAAATTACTGAGTTACTTGATGACAATTGTCTATCGAAAGAAGCTTCTTCCACGTCCGAAAAAAATTTTAGAAGGGTGAAACCTCCAAAAAATTGGGCAAAAAAATTGAAACTTGATTTTAAGCAACGATTTTGGGTTTTACATAGTAAAAATGACCTTTATGGCTATCAAGAAAAAATGCGCACTAATTTTGGAATATTTTACCTTTCTAGATCTTTGTTGGACGAGGCTTCTGTATTATTATAATTCTCATCAATTAACTCGGTAGTTCTAGAAGGAACTTTTACACAGAGTTGAACCTCAGCTTCGCACCACTTGCGATACAAAGATGAATGTTATGAAAATCAAACGGAAAAAATTCAATTAAAATCATTTTTGTCAATTAAAATTGCAACAAAAGCCCAAAATATCCGGAACAAAATTGCCTCCATCTATAGAAACTCTAAAAAGAGCTTTTGGAATGCTAAAAGAAGCCAAGTTTTCAAAAAAAGTCTTTTTGTCGAACTAAGCAATAATCTAAATCAGCCAAAATTTTCTTTTTACAAGAAAACAAGTATCAACTTGAATCTAACTCCAGAGCTTTGTCGTTTCAAGCATGGGGGTCACAGCAAATTGGGATAAGGCTGAACCATCGAGCTATGGGAGCTAAGCCGACCAAAATAAAAAATACATAAGATAATTCGAAAAACCACAAAAACTCTAGTTTGCGAAAAATAGACCGGCCAAATTCGAACTGCAAATCTTTGCCGTGTCAAACAGTTGTTTAACATGCGCTGGATGGTTGAGTGAATTTGAATTTATAATTACCAAGTGGTAACAAAGCCAAAAAACCTGAGCAGAAACCCTTCATGCCGAAATGAAATTCTAAAAAAATCTAAGCTTAAAAAAATGTCAAGCCTTTTTTTCTGTTAGAGTACACACACGCTCCCAAAAACTTTTGTCGTAGGTAACGACGCAAAAAGAGTCCACTAATTCGACATTCATTAGGCCGAAATTTAATAAGGTTAATAAAGCTGGTTAAATTACAATGGCAAATTTCGATTCGGACGGATTTTTAAAATGCCGTAAACAACTCCAGTTAAAATTATTTACAGCTAAAATAAACGATTCTTAGATGTGGCATAAGCAGACAAATAAAAGGCCGACAAATTTTTGAACCGGAACAATTACCGTTTTAAAAAACTGGTCATGGTCAGATTCGAACACAGGACATTTGCCGTGCCAGGCGTATTCATTAGCAACAAGCTAACCGTGCAAGATTGCACTACAAATTTTGAATTCAATATGAACTAAGGTACTACTAATTCAATGAGTCCCGTTTTTTTTACGGAAAAAAGTCTAGTACACAATTGCAATACCCTTGCTATCGCAAAGGTAATGAACTAAGAAAACCAAAATCACCCATTTTTGGGGTACAATTGGGCCCCAAATCTCGCAGAACAAATTGCACTATAATAATTCTGATCGAATATTTATTTTTCTCTTCACTTTTTCTGTAATCTTAACCCAATTTTAGGAAAACGAGTTTGAGGTTTCCATGTTGTTCGCTTCGTACGGTGAATTCAAATCAGAACTGGGGCACTTTCAATGTGACTATGAACTTTTTCGACTTGAGAGAGGACGATTTAGAAATAGAATGTCCTTATTTAAGAAAATTATTAGTACCGCAAACAGTTATTTTTTGGATGAAAAGGGTTTGTCAAAATTTTTCAGAGTTTTTTCAGCGCAGCTTTTGAAAAAATTTTGCATGGGCCGACCAAAAAGGATGTCGTAAATGGTGCCAAGGTGCTCAGTAAGAAACGTGGCAAACCCAAGATTGAGATGACACCTTCGTACATGACCCTTTCGGCACGCTACTGAGTGGTATATCGACGAGTAAAATTTGTCAATAAAAGTGGCTTCATTCCGCTCGCGCAACCTGAATAGGTGGAACACAAAAAAGTGCATGGCCTTTTAATCCCTCTGAGCTAGCTAATTTAACACTCATAAATTACCATATCTGCAAGCGTTCAATTTGAGATTGCACATGAAGTTTTTCTTGCACATTACCTGAAGTGGTCTGTGACCCTCTATTGGGTACTTGAGGGGACTGGAGCCAAAGTTCAACCTCACAGATTCATGTACAGAGAGAGATATAGCCGGCAGATAGGCGAACCCCGGACCCAGTGTTATGTTATCATAGGCCACTCCCAGATACTTCCCATTCCTATAGAACCCAATTTGGCCCTCGTCACAATCAATCGTGCACGAAATGACATCACCCGAGCTCCATGACTCTCCGTATTTCTGCGTATTCATGTTCCATTTTCTGGTTCTGTTGCCGTCGTACGCATACGAATTGGGAGTGTCTCCGACGCCCTCTTGCGGCGAGAAGACACACTTAGTGGTGCACCATCCGATTTGCATGAGACCTTTCGATCCCAGCATCACTTCATAGACCCATTTGCCCTTGAAAACACATGCATTGGCAGTGATGGTCGAAAAGTTTGACAGACTAGTCACTCCAAGTTGGTCGTGCTCGAAGAAGAAGTTTCCATGAGTGAGTTTTCGGTCCAGAAGTACGTAGGCATCACTGTTTCCGAAAACACGACCCTCGTTATCTTCTTCAGATATGTGCTCATTCTAAACACAGTTATTGCAACCGAGAAAAAAATTGAAGACTGCATATTTATCAAGGACAAAAATCATGAAGCATACTGAACACAGAAATCAACAATTTTTAAACAGGTTGAAAATATTACAAAACACATGCAACTGAAACTTTTTTTAACATAGCCAACATACACTTAGAAAAGAGTCAATGAACGCAATGAAATAGAAAAAATGGTATTGACATGTAATTTGAAAAAAAACTTTCGAATTACAGAGAAAAAATGTATGGCCTGGAAGCTCTTTGAATTTCAATAATTTATGAATGCCTTAATTTGCTAAAATAAACCCGATTTGAGAACTTTGGATCAAAAGGCAAATTTTGTATTCCGCTGGGGAATCTTAAACTAAAACTCACTTTCGCGACCTTAACACTTTTTTGGTTCGATAGTCGAGTTTGCCTTCCTTTTATCAAAAAAATGAATGAACTTTGAAAGAAACTCAAAGTGAACCCGCGAAAAAAACTTGAGCTTGACAAAATTTCTAGACTTTTCCTGCAAAAAGAAACAAACAAAAATTACCACGACCTATATGAGAATCTTCACTAAGTTCATCGAATCAATACTGTTCTGGAATAATGTACGCTAATGTTCAGTTTTCACGCAAGTGAGCAAAAATTACTAACAGCAAGGAAATTCTCAAAAAAAAAAGTCAGTCATTTTGCAAGTGTAGATAATGATCCGACCAGTTTTTCTTATAGAAAATCCATTTTTTCCCGTTTATTTTAAAAGCGTTTGAAACCGAAGGCTAATAAATAATTTATTGTTCCGACCATTTGAAAAATGGGGAGAGAACTTTGTATTCGAGTGTGATTTAGTTTTTTCTATTTTTTGTTTTCCACGCAAAACCAGGTACCAAAAATAAATCGGACTGGGTTGAGTGATATAACATACACAGAGGCGTACCGGAGCTTCGCATCACTTGCGAAACCACAAAAATAGCATTGCAAGCTAGCAGACAGGAAAGAAGAGCCACTAAGACCAAAATTTAGTCAGAAATGATGTTCTATTGGCAGAAAACACGTCCAGAAACACATTCGATTGCTTTTAATAAAACTTATAAAACAAAAAATGCGCGAAAATAAAATTGTCATGAAAAATTTATAACTAGATTTCTTTTCTGAGATTTTTAACGTCTTGTGCGATCCGAATGAAAGCATACAAATTATGGTTTCTTTGAACGACCCAAATTTAGGTTAGTAAACCGATAAAATATAAGCCGAAATCATGTAGGCCGAAAAAATTCCGCAGTAAATGAAAGCATAAAAAACAGCTGCAACGAAAGCTACGTACGGCAAAAAAATCTTCAATGGGGCAACTAAGCCAATCAAACATAAGCAGACAAATAATAAACCGGCAATTTTTTGAAACGGAATATTTCCAGTTAAAAAAAAAACAGGTCCTCGGTAGGCTCGAACTCACGACCTTTGCTGTCCCAGGTGTATTCGTTGCCTCCAGACTAAGTGTTCCGGATACACTGCAAAATTTTTCAAGAACCAAGATATAATGATTCAAAACATTCTGTTAAAAAAGTGGTTACCCGAGCGTAACAAAAACCCTATCAGTCGTGATTCGAACAAAAAGAAAAAATTTCCAAAAAAACTTTCAGTGGCGAGGAAAATCGATTTATATGATGACGGAACACCTGTGGTATGCATAAACATGCGTTATTGTTCCGACAGAGGAGCTCTATATTCGGGTTGGTTTAGTTTTTCGCTCTTTTTTTAAACATTTTCTTTCTATTTTCCACGCAAAATCAGATACCACAAATAATTATGGGATTATTTCGAGTGATGTATCATATTGAAGCCCTTTCAGTCGTCTTTCACACAATAGCCTGCTCGCTTGCATTTTTTGCTAACAATAAAAGTTCAAATCAAAAACACTGGGACATTTTGAAAATTTTGTAATGTCGTTCGAATCACGACTGAAAGGGCTTCAATTGTTTTTTTTCTGTTTTTCTCGCCATCTGTTTTTTTTACTGAGCTCTCAATCTCAGATTTAGCAGGGTAGCTTTTGAGAAGTCCTGAAAATTCGAAAAAATGGTCCCAAAAAACAAACTTAACTTTTCCAAAGCAAGCTGTTTTCTAGTTAGATAGCTGTTTTCTACTTAAATAAGGGCATACCAGCTTATCCAGCGAATTAATCTGTTATTTCATTTGAACAATTAATAATGAAATTGGAAGGGTATTTTTTGAGAACAGTAAAAATTTCCAAAAAAAAAAGTCAAAGTATCAATTATTTCCCTAGGCAATTAACTTTTTCCTATAAAACGTAGTGCAAAATCGCTAATGCAGAGAGGATTGTTAAAAACTTTTATTTCGATTAAATTTTTTGATACCACTTGGGCCGGTGGGGTTCTCACAAGCTGCTCTTTCAATTGAACCCTTAATTCAAGATATGACGGGATAGTTTTTGAGAAAAAACTCGAAAAAAAAGACCAAACTTTCGAAAAATGGCCTATTTTGAATCCACTACTTTTTTCTTTTAAAATTATGACGTAGTGGCTTATGTAAAAATGATCTCTACTATCTTTTTTGCCATTGAAATCTTAATTTCAGATTTGGCATGGTGGTCTCTGAAAAAATCCAAAAAATTGAGTCAAATATTCCCCACGTAAAATTTCGAAGACCTTTGAAGGAGGAGAAAGGTTAAAAGAACATGCAGACATACAATGTAAGAACCGATCTTTCATTGGTGCCAACTTTTTGAAAATCAATGAAGAAATTGTCGAGAAAAAGGGAAACTTCAGCGAAAAAAATTCGCCAAAGCGTCTCAAAAGATTAATCAAAACTTAAAAAAAAGGTTTCTTAATTCCCAATTTTCTCGAACAGGAAATTTCTTCCCTCCGAACTACGTAAACGGAAATGATTCTGCAATTCCACAACGCCAAAACCTTTCAATCGAACAAAAAAAATTCTAATACAGAAATTAAAAATCAGATATGGAAAACCGAAAAATTAAAGATTTCAATATTGTAAGAACATCTAAAATCAAAATAAAATCCATGCTTTACAAACTAAGCCAATAACAAACAGTACCAGATAATTTAACTTCAATTTAAAAAAACGGAAACTGAACTGACTGCAAATTAGGCCAAAAACCATTTAGAGAGAACTATTTGAAAAAAGATTAACCCCGGAAACTGTCAACGCTTATTTACTACCTAAATAAAGGTAATTTTATTTGAACATTCAAGAAATTGAGCATGTCTTGAAAATTACCATTCCTACAAAATTGACCATTCTGTGAACTAAGTTATTTACGGGAAAAATTCTAGTAACGGACTGCAATACCCTTGCTTATTGCAAGGGTAAGCGCGACATAGCTGAAGCCCCGCTAATCAAATAGCGATGAGAAAATCAAACTTCAATCAAAAAGAAAAAAGTGAGCAGTATCAGAAAAAACATCACGACCAAACCTGTTCATTTTCCAATTGAGTATTATTTTGCTTCAAACTTTTTTCGATAAAGCCCTCTAGAGTTTCCAGAGTCAGTCGCTTTTTCGACACATTTTCTGCTGAGGAATCACAATGGTAACTGAAACTTGGTGGCGGAGAAAATACTCTGTGCAAAAACTGTTCGACTGCAGGAGCTCTTCCCCCGCTTCCACTTCCAACAATTGCGACTGGAAGCCCACACTGCTGAATCGAAGGCGGAGCCATAGTATTTTACCTGAATTTTTAAATATAAATTATGTTAAGGTCAATGTTTGAGAGATCATAACAAAGGTATAAAAAATGCTCTTCCGTGTTTAGGTTAATCAGAAGGTCAAAACTATCATTATAACTGAACTTTCAGAACAAAGCCGTCAAAATTATATTGATCAGGGAAAGATGAATCAGAAGGTAAGAAATAAACATAGCCAATCAAAGATTGGAAAAGAGTAACGAATGCAAGTAAACATAAAAAAAACACTGACTTTCTTAACACTGACTTTCTTGAAACAATCTCAACTTTCGAATTTCAAAGAAAAAAAAATAGATGCCCTTTAAGCTCTTTGAATTCTAGAACAATTTATGATTGGCGCTTTTTTCATAGAATTAACCCAACTTGAGAAAACTGGATCAAAGGGTAAAGTTTTGATTCCGCTGGAAATCTAAAAATTAAATTACACTTTCGAAACTAGAAATCCGTCACGAATTTTTGCGCCAATTTCACGTTCGTATTTGGAGAGTACTATTTACGTCACTTTCAGCACATGAATTTCAATTCAACTCAAAAACTGCATATATACCTGAGTGCATCAATGTTAAAACTTTTTCCTGAAAAAATAAAAAAGCGAAAAACAAAAAAATCAGCGAGACCTATATAAGAGTCTTCACTACGTTCATTACTCTTAATCATGGTAATCGAAGTTGTTTCACTAGTCCTCCATCATTTCACCTAATCAAAAAACTATTAGACTTTCGTAAATTAAGAAAAAGTAAAGTATAACGTGAACGAATGTTGGGAACCAAGCCAACCAGATTGAGACACCTGCACACAATAAACCGAGTTGAAAAAAAACTCAAAAAGATTGAACTGATATGAGGCCACAGGTCTATCAGATATTTATACTAAGCTGTGCTTTAGCTCTTGGCTCCACAAATAAAAAACTCTTTATCAATTAATTTTCTATCTTTGTTATTTGTTTAACTTCTATCATTAATAATGCCGAGTACACAGGCAGCGATCGCAACCTGCATAGCGAGGGAGATTCTCTGCTTAAGAAAACTAACTGCCCTGAGTTCTTTGGTACACATGTTCAAATTCTTACAGCGCTTACGAAAAACTTGTGATAGGACCAGCGGCACCCTGAATTTGAAAAGCTTTTTGGTTGAAAAAAATCCATCTTTATTTTAATCTCTAAATTTGTCAAATTTGCGATTTTTAGTGTTGGACGCCGCCGTTCCGGGTTTACAAACCGAGCCTGCACTTATTCTACTAGGGGATAGGGAGTCAACTTCCATTACATGCCAAACGAGCTGAGCAGCAACAGCCCAGGTACAAGTGTCAAACCGTGAGGTAGTTTCTGATCTGATTACGGCAATTTCGTGACTCTAAAATAGTAAGAATCTGAGTATACAAATTTGAATGCCTAGAGAGACATTTGCACTTTTCAGACAAGGAAGCTGTTGTGTCTAAAAAAAACACTGCTTAGTTAGGTAAACTTTTCCTGAACAAGTTCATACATCTTTACAAGTTCTGAATAAAACGTCAAATAATATCAAAATATGAATGAAACAAGATAACAGCGAATAACATTCTTCCCCGCTGAAAAAAAAAGAAAAAACAGATGGACCAGAGCTTGATATGGCATTGAAATATCTTTCAGATACGGGTTTCCGTCGGATCCTTTGCGATCGTCGTTACGGCTTCAAAAGAAGAGTTTTTGCATAACGTTGCGCCGTGTTGCTGTTGTTGTAAGCTCGTATGCTACAAATACGGTCTTCTGATACGGTTTGATTGCTTGGTTGTCCGTGTTTTTGATTGGTTTGACAGAGCTTAGTTCGTTTGTTCTCAATACTCTAGTTCAGTTGAAACAGATTGATTTGTTGATTCCGACTCTCTGGCAAACATGCATTGTGACTCTCCCGGGGTGCCTCTGGGTACGAGGAGAGACCGCCAATTCCAGTTCGAGGCCCGCCTATTGTATTAGCGTCTTCACTAGTTGCTAGTCGCATCACTTGTTTGTGCACGTGGTTGAACTTCGGCGTGTTATCGACTCGATGTGAAGATCCTTATGCCTCTGGCTGGTGCCCAAGAGGTAACCTAGTCATCATAAGAGCCATGCTGTTCGCTGAGAGCTAAGAAGGAAGCAGCTTCGATGCGGTCTTCCAATAAACATTCAATTGTGAGATCTGTCAGATTTTGTTGACAGTTGAACAGATGTTTGGTATCTTGAGGCACAATTTTGCTGAGTGGGCATTCATTTGTCCTTTGAAGATATATTCTATTAATGTAGGAGTTTAGGCGGGTACTATACCCGAACGCATTTGTGATAGAATGACTCTTGTGCCTCCTGATAGTTTGAGTTCATACTCATTGATTTTTGTTGGGAGGGAGCCAGTGACTTTGTCGTAGTTGCAACGGATGTATCTTGACACATCATTCCGATGAATATATCTGTGCTTTTTGGTATTCAACCATGTTGGTTTCTTTTTTTATTTTTTTTCAAGTCAAACAAGTCAATTTCATCGCCGGAAAGATCTTTCAATATTGGGTGGATGTCATTGAGAGGCTTTACTTCAAGCATCTCTGTTTCGTCACGATGTTTGGTATCAGCCATTTTCACGTTTCCAGTGATTGATCTGAGAGCAATGTTTTGCTTCACCTGGATATTATTCTAGTTTGTGTTACTAATAGCTGGCGTCCAGATTGGTGCTCCGTAATTGAGTACACTGCGCCCGATGGCCTTGTAAGTAACACTCAGTGTTTCTTTTGAGCCACCCCAATTAGTACCAGATAGCATTTCAATGATATTATTGCGTTTTTGAAAGTTCCCACATGTGTTAGTAATGTGTTATTAGAAATTGAGCATGCTATCAATTGTCACCCCTAAAAAGGCTTGGTCTTCAGTGCGATAGGAGGGACTACTAATTGATAGCTGTGAGTCAAATCTCACCTCTTTGCAGTCGTAATGATTACTAGGTTTTTTTGAAAAGAATAAATTTTTAAAAAACGTCATATCTCGAAAACCAGAAGAATTTGAGCAGTCATACTTGTACGCTAGATTTAGAGCCCTTGAGTGTACGCCGATAGCACCCCACTATGGGGTTGAGAAATTCAAGCTCGGTTAGTTTCTTTTTATATCTTAGTTTTTTGCAAAAAACTGGAAAAATCATAAAAAACGCCATATCTCAAAAACCATTAAAATTTGAGCAGTCATACTTGGACGATAGATTTGCAGCTCTTGAGTGTAGCCCAATAGGACCCCATTAAAGGGTTGAAAAAGTCAAGTTAGATTAGTTTTTTTATATATCTAAGTTTTTTGAAAAATAAAGAAAAAAAAATTTTAAAAACGTCATATCTCAAAAACCAGAAGGATTTGAGCAGTCATACTTGTACGCTAGATTTAGAGCCCTTGAGTGTACCCCCATAGCACCCAACTATGGGGTTGAGAAGTTCAAGCTCGGTTAGTTTTTTTTTATATCTAAGTTTTTTGGAAAAAACTGGAAAAATCATAGAAAAAACGCCATATCTCGAAAACCAGAAAGACTTGAGCAGTAATACTTGGACGCTATATTTGCAGCTCTTGAGTGTAGCCCAATAGGACCCCATTTAAGGGTTGAAAAAATCAAGTTAGATTAGTTTTTTTATATATCTAAGTTTTTTGAAAAATAAAGAAAAAAAAATTTTAAAAACGTCATATCTCGTAAACCAGATGGATTTGAGCAGCCATACTTGTACGCTAGATTAAGAGCTCTTGAGTGTACCCCGATAGCACCCCACTATGGGGTTGAGAAATTCAAGTTCGGTTAGTTTCTTTTTATATCTAAGTTTTTTGAAAAAAAAAACTGAAAAATCATTTAAAAAAATCCATATCTCGAAAACCATAAGGATTTGAGCAGTCATACTTGACGCTAGATTTGCAACTCACGAGTGTACCCCGATAGGACCCCACTATAGCGTTGAGGAAATCAAGTTCGGTTAGTTTTTTATATCTAAATTTTAAAAAAAAAAACAATTTTAAAAAACGTCATATCTCGAAAACCAAAAAGATTTGAGCAGTCATACTTGTACGCTAGCTTTAGAGCTCTTGAGTGTACCCCGATAGCACCCCACTATGGGGTTGAGAAATTCAAGTTCGGTTAGTTTCTTTTTATATCTAAGTTTTTTGAAAAAAAACTGAAAAAATCATTAAAAAATCCATATCTCGAAAACCATAAGGATTTGAGCAGTCAAACTTGGACGCTAGATTTGCAACTCACGAGTGTACCCCGATGAGACCCCACTATAGCGTTCAGGAAATCAAGTTCGGTTAGTTTTTTTATATCCAGTTTTTTGAAAAAAAAACGAAAAAATCATAAAAAACGCCATATCTCGAAAACCATAAGGATTTGAGCAGTCAAACTTGGACGCTAGATTTGCAACTCACGAGTGTACCCCGATAGGACCCCACTATAGCGTTGAGGAGGTCAAGTTCGGTTAGTTTTTTTATATCTAAATTTAAAAAAAAAAAACAATTTTAAAAAACGTCACATCTCGAAAACCAAAAAGATTTGAGCAGTCATACTTGTACGCTAGATTTAGAGCTCTTGAGTGTACCCCGATAGCACCCCACTATGGGGTTGAGAAATTCAAGTTCGGTTACTTTCTTTTTATATCTAAGTTTTTTGAAAAAAAAACTGAAAAAATCATTAAAAAATCCATATCCCGAAAACCATAAGGATTTGAGCAGTCAAACTTGGACGCTAGATTTGCAACTCACGAGTGTACCCTGATAGGAACCCACTATAGCGTTGAGGAAATCAAGTTCGGTTAGTTTTTTTATATCTAAATTTAAAAAAAAACAATTTGAAAAAACGTCATATCTCGAAAACCAAAAAGATTTGAGCAGTCATACTTGTACGCTAGATTTAGAGCTCTTGAATGTACCCCGATAGCACCCCACTATGGGGTTGAGAAATTCAAGTTCGGTTAGTTTCTTTTTATATATAAGTTTTTTGAAAAAAAAACTGAAAAAATCATAAAA